GTGGCGTGCCGCGCCCCCTCCGGGCGCGCCGCCCTTCGCGGGGGGATCCCTGCCCGGCCGCGAGCGGCGCCCGCGGGCGCCGCGCGCCGTGACCGGCCTGGCGGCATCGCACGCCGGAGCGTTGTTGTTGGCAAGTGAGCAGCGCTGGAGCTCGGGTGCAGCCCGCGGGTTGTATGTAAGAGAGCACCACCTTTTGAGGTGTATGCCCCCTGTGTTTTTCGGCACTGTGCAGCTTACTTCCATCCTTTCGTCAACACTGCGCGCGACTCTAGCGACCCTGCTGTTGGGCGCCGCTTGTCTCCACATGCCAGCTGTGCTGTCGGGCGCATGCGTGGGTCACCAAACCCGACTTCCCCTTGGTTGATGGGGGTTGAGGCTTTGGTTGTAGCAGTAATCAGCTTTTTCTTCAGTGAGTGTACAACACATTTGCGGATCTGGTGGTGGAGTGCTCAGGGTGAGCCAGGTGTGTGTCAAAATCCAGCTGAGGTCTGATGTCGGGCTGTGCAGCGCCCTGGAACTGTGTGGGGCCCCACCGCTTTTGGCAATGAGTAGGCGTTTGCATCACCACTGCGGGACATTGCAGCAACCAGTGCCGGCCAATCTGTGAGGATGGCATCAATGAGGGCGTGAAGCCTCACAGCAGAGCACCCCGACACTCAGCACCCATGTGGGCCCACATGCCCATGACCTGCCATGTCGACAGCAGGATGGGCATGCTGGACAGTGTCATAATCCACAAGGAGATATTTGTATCAGACACTACCTGTTGACGACCTGCATCCCACCATACGCAATCCGATCGCTTCGACCCGCTGATCTACGACACAGAAAGCGTCGTTGTCGTCTCTTTGCGCAATTGAATCGCGTTTCTTTCTTACTAGCTCACATGCTCCGGGCTGTGGCGTGCCCCCAAGCTCACAACGGGCACCCTCGCACGTCCCCCGCCCCGCTGCGGCACCCCCGGTGCGTCCGCACGTTCAGCAGAGGACCGCCGGCACCCAGGGAGCAGCGGCACCGCCAAAACAGCGCACGTGCGCACCGTCAACGCATCGCCGGACGCCCCGCGCGGGCGACCAGCCGGCGCGATGTCGACAGCGAGTGCTTTGCGGGCGTTGTGACGCTCGACAATGACAGCGACCCGCGATACACGGTGCTGCGGGGTGAGCGCGGCAGCGCACAAGCGCAGGCATTGCTCAAGCGCCATGGACTGCAGCTCCGCTCGGGCAATCCAGAAATATGAGCCATGTTTCAAGCAGCGGTCAAGCACACGCGCGCGGCACCACACCACCACTGCCTCACTCACCTCAAGCCGTCAACCCTGCTGCGGCGCCCCCAAATCCGCCCCCTCACACACACACAAGTCGAGGCGGACGACTTCGCCGGCCTGATCAGGGTGCTGGCCTGGACGCTGACCGGGCTGGGCCTCAACGTCGCCAACGCGCTGATACAGACCGACGGGGGCGTCGCATCAGACACATTCTTCGTCACCGGTGCGGCCGGCCCCCTACCCTCCCCCCTTCCCCCTGCCCTGTGGGTGGCCGGTCCCCACCTCGGCCCCGGCGTCCAGGGGCAGTGCTTGCGGTCCTCACAGCAAACACGATAACAACAATTCCCAGGGGTTTTGGGGTGCAGGCCGAGCCCCAAATCGGAACACCACGCAGGGCTGTGGTGTATCCAAGATGTCCGCAGCTCGCGCCGCAGCCGGCTGCCCAGGTGCGCGGCGGCTGGACCCGCTGCCATCGAGAATCCCTCGCCATGCGCTCCCCCCCTCCGTCCCAAAACCCCATTGCCCCACCCAGACTCGCGCGGCCGCAAGCTGAGCGATGCCGCGGCGCTGGAGGTGGCGGAGCGGCTGCAGGACATCGTGGATGATGTGTGCAGGACGAGCAGCGACGGGGAGTTTGGCGAGGTGCGCTTTACTGGCATGCGTGGGGCCTAGGGTTGAGGGTTGATGGTTTAGGCCTTGGCCAACCCTGGACTTTGAACCCTGAGTTGACCCTGTTTTGGCATGCATGGCAGAAGCTCTCCGTGTTTGACAGGGTCCATGGGTCTGCTCACTGTGGTCGTGAGCGCACTGTGTTGGTCCGCATCCCTTTGTCCAGTTGGGAATGAGGGGGCAGCGGGCCCAGAGCGCGCGCACACGGGTGTGTGCGCCGCATGGCGAGGAGGAGCTGGAGCGGACGGTGCGGGTGGACCCACCAGGCAAATGCTTCTGCGCCTGCAGAGAGGCACGGGCGCGCGTGCACATACCACCGGGCAATCACGCTTGCTCATGGCCCCTGCAATCACAGCCAGCCACACTCCCACCGGTGACCCCCCACCATGAAACCCTCCACCCCCCAGCACCCACGATTAGAAAAAACCCTGCTCCTGCGGCGCCCGCATGCGGTCAATTGACCTCCCGCGCAGGCTCGCATCGGTGACGTCATCCACCTGTCCAATGAGACCCACCCCACCTGCACCGAGGTGGGAAACAGCCATCTGGGGGTGGAGCCACGCCCGAAAACACGGACCGCGCTTGCTCTGTGGCTTGCTGAGAACAAACATGATTTGCAGATTAGGCTGCGACCGCCCCGGCGCCGCTGTGACCCCGCGGCCATGTGCAATCCCCGGCCCACGCGCCATTATGCCCCTGTGCACACCTACTCTCTCCTTGACTTGAAGTGACACACACGCACGCGCGCACACACACACACACACACACACACACACACACACACACACACACACACGCACACACACGCACACACACACACAC